AAAACCAAATTGATTTGTTTCCAAATATTTATGGTTTTGCCATCTATCATTTCTTTGTATTATATTTACAAAAAATCAAACTAGACAATAACTTGAATAGATGTAAGAGATGTAAAACTAAAATAATACTCATTAATTGTAATTCATTAGAAACACTTGAAATTTGTTAATTTGTAATAATCCTGAATATATTGATTATTTTAAATCAAGAAATACTTGTAAAGTTATATTATAATATGATATATTAATTGTTCAATGAAGTGTACGTATGATAATCGAACTAATTTAGATTTATGGTTATTATGACTAGGATATTTCATAGTCATTTATACGGCGATGCGAAGTACATAAGCCTAACCGAATTTGGCGATGATTTGTATAGCAATAGGTAATGGAATTACGTTAGGGACAACATGCTGGGAAGAGGGCCCACAGAGCAACAAATATTAATAGAGCTGCAACACAATATGCACGCACCACCGACCAGACAAATTGTTTTATAAAGTGATTACGCGACGGCAGTTATCAGCTGGTACCATAATGTAATGATATTGTAGTGCACTTCAGAGATAGCGGACTTCAATGAGAAACATCAGATTTTCGCGAGAATGACGCAACTTTCACCATGCAACATGCACACCCTTCCTCCCATCTATAACAGCACCCTTCCTCCTCCAAATCGAATCACTCATAGAATATGTATATTAGTTCACATTTAAAATACGTATTTATCGAATCTCAAGTTCTCAAATATATAAAAAAAAGTTAAAAATAAATGATATACATATGATATACATATTTAAATTTAGTAGAATAATTAGATTTTATTTGCTTAAAAATATTCATATTAAAAAATACAACTTCAATTCAGTAAAATTCAACATATAATAACAATATAAAGACAATTATATTAATATTTTATAAAGAACAAATAGTTTCATATTGAAATATAAATTATCCAACAATACCTGATATACTAACAAGATTATACTACAATTTAGTTATTTGGTGAGAATTCAAGAAGAAACTAAAGGCTTGTGCTAACATACAAGATTTTATAATATGAAATTAAGTTATAACTAGGTAATTTTAGTTATATATACATTTTAGATATTCTTATAGGATTAAAGTTATATGCATTTTAATGTTTTGTTTACACATCAATGGATTATATTTTCAATTAACTCATTTATGTTTGTGCATGAGATTTAATGCACAGAATGGAGTAGTAACAAATATAAATATTCATTAGTCGTATTTCATATTAGGGGAGGTGGATTATATTATGATTATTCATATTTATCAAATATGAATTTAAATTTATTATGCGAAACTTCTTTTTTATCACCCCTCTAAATAAGTGTTTTGTTGCAGTAACGTCGTAGCAGCAGAGATACATACAGTGGTATAGTAGTAGTAGTAGTAGTGATGGTGTGAGTGAGTAGTTACAATGGGTTTTATGGAACCCCCTCGTTTTTAAAAGTACAGCGAGGAGAGCGAGCGTATCCATGACAGTTAATCGCCCCCAGTCCTTCGCTCCTGACACATACACAGGAAGTGCTTTGATATTTTGAATCATTATCACTCGTTGCGCAATTCATCATAACGCTGTTTTTGTAAGGGTGTTAATAGTTGGGGTTAAGAGCAGTCTCGTATCATCATCATTGTCTGGCGTTTCAATAGTGCGCATATTAACCGTAACGAATTTATGATTTTATAGGCAAAAATGAGAGAGGAGACGTAAAAATATTCGTTTTATGATCATCAATTCTTCTTCTACAGAGAGAGACAGAGATGGAGGAAGTGTATATACATCTATAGATAGAGTTGCACACAAACACAAGTATGGATCCGGGTCGGCTATAAATCCTGACTTTACTTTTTGATATTCCTTTAAGAAGTGGTGGTTTGGTAGCCAGAGCCGAGGGCAACATTTGTTATTATGTCGCTGCACCGATTCCGAAAATGCCGAGCAATATGTCTCGCGGCTAGACTACCGTGAAAATCTATTAATTCCTCGACTAAAAGATTAATTCTTGTTTTGCAACCAAACCAAAGTATATCATCATCTATTGAAATCATTCCATATCTACTAACATTGACAAACGGACATTAATCATCCGTTATCAATAATTACTTATTAATATAATTATCTTAAAATCTTGAATAATAATAAATGGTCAATAGCCTTTTGCAATGAAAATTTTTAATTTTGTTCCAATAAAGATAATTATTGTTAATGGCAAACATGTCAAGGAATTAGAAAATGTAATAGTTATTAGATATACAAGAGTAAAAATTAAAACATATACATAATGACGAAAGTTAGTTATTAAGTAGACACGAATAAAAATAAGAAATGGAATGAACATGTATATAATTACAAACTCAACATATTACGTATTGTTATCGATTGTCTTCGCTAGTTATTTTTACATTTTTCAATGATTTATATTCTTATTATTAATTCACGATTTATATAGTAACAATAATTCCCAATATTATTATAAATGCGTAATAATATATTGTTAATAATGAAAATTATTGTACAAAAAATTGTATTATACGGAAATAAACACTTAAAACATAAAATTATTTCAATAGCAGTTTCTGTAATTTCTCATTGAATGAATGGGAATTACGTACTACACATTCATATTCTTTTGTTCTGAATGAAAAACAATAACCGTTTTATTATTAAATCGATGAACGTATATTGTTTTCATATAGCATTTCATTTAAAGCAGCTTATTTCATAATACTTATTAAATTATCATCAAATTAATTCGACTTTTTATTCTCGTAATATATCAACAAATTTAGTTGCAATCTATTTTGATATATTACTTTGATAGTCGTAGACTAGCTACATTTTCTAATGTTCCAAAGTTCAACCTAATTTTCACGCTGCATTTATTTTGATCTATAGGTCTTAGTTCTATTGGTTTATCATCAAAATGAATATATATTTAGTATGCAATTTGTCGAGAAAAATACTTCTAGTTTTCAGTTACATAACATATTTACCTTAAAATCTTGAATAGACTTAAAAGTTATAAAGTATTAAAAAGTAATCTAGATAATAGCGGGGAAATGGAAACGTCAATGTTGTCAAGTGTAAAATAAATAGAAAGTGTTTTGTTGTATATAAGTGGAGCGTAGTTCGCAGAGGTGATATTAAATGTACGGTAGACCACCCACATAAATAATGGTAGGTTTTGGCTAGAGGGACAACAACAGTTGTGTGGTCGTTGACAGACACAGATCTCATTACCAGATAGGCCCAGATAAGCCCACAAAGGCAATACCGATTCTATAAACACACCGGGGCATATATATATATATATACATCGTCCACTCCGGGGCTATTTAGGAAATAACTGCGTTATCCCGAAATCCATCCCTGTATTTACGCTATTCCCTCTTTATCAGATTTTTGTAAGCGAAAATTGATTTTGCAATGTGCCATCCCCGCCGAATGTATTTCAAATGTGCGTCAATTTTTGGGGGTGGTAGAACGGAGAAATTCATTTCTCTTCGTTATTTTTCTTTTTTTGTTTTACATCATTCGTGCGTGCATTTTTCCCTTTTCCAGTTTCGATTGTGTATATATGCTTTTTGAGAGAGCGTAACCGTAGAGCATTATTAATGCACGTTTCTTTACGTGCACGAGGTGTAATTAGATTCTAAAAAGGTCACTTAATGTAATAAGCACGATTCAGAAAGTGCCCTTTTTGAAAATGAAAGAAAATAAAAACAACACACACACATTCACACAAAAATGGGAATGTATGTGATGAATAAATTCTTTGTGTTGCAGGGAGAAATAAAAAAAAGGTTACATGAATATAATTTATATATATAGTAAATGTAATTACTTAACATGATTCGAATAAAAAGAGAGGATTCAAGATCGGTGTACCGTGATGGTAGTCAAGGAGCATCATGACTAATTGAAGCTCATCCGTATATATATGTATATATATATATTTGGTATAAACTGGAACGCAGGTATGGCATGCACAAGGATAAAGCGAGATCAGCAATCAGGTGAATTAGCGTAGAGACGGATTACTAAGAGAGCAAGCGGTGATAGAGGGCCATCGGTGCGTGAGGCCATTCAACGCACGGCAGTATTCAGTAATTGGCATCGAATATGAAGAAGAACCCGCTACAACCCCCCCCCCCACTTGCACAGGAGCTACAGACCTTAAACAATATTAATTAATCTTTTACTAATTACGCATTCCGCGACGGCACGAAACCGCAAGCTTCATTTACTACGTATAAATGCAATGCGAAATTTATCCACGAAATGAGCAACTCGTAAGACCATTTCTCTTCACAATTCCCACAAAATTGTTTTTTTTTATCCTTCTTCTAATAATCCTTTATATTTCACTTTGTTACATCATCCTTGACTGTGAGATTTTATAATTTATATAATTGTTCTAACAAATATTGTTGTTATTCAGCGCGAAAATAATCAATGAAAGTCTTAGTTCTTGTAATTTTTGTTCATATCTTCCACATAGTGGAACTCTTACCATTATCGGGCAATCAATAAGGACATCATACCTTTGATGATGGATGACGAACGTAAGCTTTTTGTGTTAGCGCAAAAGTTCAAGTTAATTTGATTTATTCAATTTTTAAATTATTTCTTCGATCGAAGTAACAAAAATATGTGTCATTTACAAATCAAAATCAATATTCATTAACAGTAAAAAGTTTAACAATTCATCGAAATAAGCAATATAAACAGGAAGTTGATCTATTTGCATAATGTAGAATTGACTTTAGAATTTCAGGAAACAATTATAATACAAACGAAAAATACATAATGCACATGACTTTTATCATATCAACTTAATGAGATGACGTAGAACAATTGTGCACAATAAAATAACGGTAGTTGCTAAAGCATAAATAGAAGTAAAAATTAATATATTAATATTTATTTTAATAAGCAAAAAAAAATATACGATTATGTACAAAAAGGGAATTCGTCGAATTACAATTCTATTGAACGGTTGTTGCACTTTTGAACAAACTACCATCACCCGTCCTTGTCGCTCTCTGTTTAATTAATTCCGCACTGACGGACTTCAAGTCATAGGCTTGACCTAATGCAGCCCAAAAGTGAATGAAACGCGTAGTCCAGTTGGAGGTGAACGGTAATTCATTAGCTTTATAATCCCATGGAAATACGTGATGGAAGTTATGCCATCCTTCGCCTAGAGAAGCTATGGACACCCATCTGTTTTGACTTGGATTAATCGATCTGCAAGAATCAATGTTAATCAATATTGGATTGAAACTAAGATCTTTACTTACTGATCATACGGTTTGTTTCCAAATAGATGGGCTGCACTGTTTACTAACCAAGTTACGTGTAAACTGTATATGTAACTTAATACAACCATAACGTAGAAAGCTGTTCCAAGTTTTTCACCTAGCAAGTAACAATCCACGTACAACGGCACTAAGATTCGGAACAACACCACCAATGGAGTGTAATACCTAAATTAATAATATTATATTTTTCATTCTAATTAATCTGTATCTGTAAATCTTACTTTTTTTGGATTTTAATTACTGGATCCTCAGCTATATCGCTCATATCAATGAATTTTCCTTTCTCTCGGACGTCCGGATGCTTTCTCAGCAACAGCCACCCAATATGCGAGAAAAAGAAACCTAAATCTTAATTATTTAATATATTTCTATTGGATCTATCTCACTTACCCCTTTTCGCGTTATGTGGATCGGCGTCAGTCTCGGAAAATTTATGATGGACCCGATGATCCCTGCACCATTCATAAAGGTGATTTTGAACGGCGATGCACTGGAAAGCGGCTAAACAATACCGCAATGGTGTTTTCGCTTTGTACGATCTGTGGGACCATAGACGATGCGCTCCTGCAGTGATTCCAAATCCACCCAACCAACTGTACATCCAAACTGGCGAAACACGTACGTCGTAAGTATCCACATGAAGCATGATTTAATTGAGTTTACTTACAGAAGATCATTGTTTCTATTTTCGCCTTGAAGATGTAAAGGTATAAACCTCTGAGTGCCAAAGCATGGAGGACGCTGAAGATGATAACATTCTTCCAAACTACCTCCCAACGGTACGAGCTTTTCGAGTATCCGAGCAGGTTCTGCCCGATCCGCGACAACTCCTCCTGTTTCTTCGTTGCCATATCGAAAGTAACATTTTCCAACTCGAATGCACTATTTATAATATAGTCTGTGTAAGGAAGGATACAAAGTTCTTTTTTTCACGTTCAATTGTTATGGTAATATTTTCAACAAAAAAAAAACCGCTTAAAAAATACTATTATACAATCAGACACTCGATTGTCTAATATACGGTATCGCTCATGAATATTTAATTTCACAAAATTAGAATAAATGTATGGAAGATTTATTAAATATTTCTGATATAATGATATAAAAACGTAAAATAATTATACAAATACTATTATTGAAATTAATTTTATAATAATTCATTCTAAATTAATTTATTCTTTTATTAGCAATTATTAGCAATTAGCAATTATATTAAAAAACAAAGTTTGATGTATCGTTTTTTTTTTCTTTCTCTCTCAGACGGTTGCAATTCATTACAAATTCGAAAGCTATTTCTTTCCACAATTCCAACCCCATAATCTTTAATTGTAACCGCAACGTCAACTTTTCGTTTTCTAAATGGAATTAAAACTGTGTATCCCTTCGGGTTGACAATAGTTGTGTTTGAGTAACGATACGGACGGAATACGTGTATCTCTTCTATATAGAATTCACATCTGTCAGTGATATCAATGCGAAGAGAATTAAGTAAACCCCGGCTAGCCTTAAACCAGTTAGCATAGAAAGTCTTCTGAGCGTAAAGAACGGTACCGTTCGTGGAGGGTTGTTGTCAGCCGCAGCAGGGGGGTGGTTACGCAATCCGCCCCGGGCGTGCAATATTACACGCAAGATTGGATTTCAATAAAATTGTTGCATACGTCTATATTAAAAAAAATAAATAAATAAAAAGTTTCTGCTCAGAGATTTGCAATAGAAATGACATTTGGTGAGAGCTTTGTCTCTGCTTAATCACAAATATTCTATAATTTTCATTATTTTAACGTATATAAAACGTATTAAATATACATATTATCAAACAAATGTTAAAAATATGTACTTTCGCATAGTCCGGCAAATTGATTCCGTTAACGAATGATCTATCCGAATTATAACATAAAATTTCCACTTGATGAACGTCGCACCCTTGCAATACGCCAAATAATTTTCCTTCGTTAATGCTAATGACATCAACAGCTTTAATTACGGGCAGGGGGTTGCCATGTCGCAAAATCCCATCACAGCCCTTGCAGATGACACTTGGAATTTTCTATTGCCTTTTTCAATGACCATAAATTCCCTATCTTTTCAAGTGCGCGTTTATTGTTCATAAAATTCGTGTACAAAATCAGAAAATATTATCAATCAAGAATCAATTGGTGATTATATTTGTTATATAAAATTATGTAAAAAAATGTAATAATATGATAATTTTATAAAATTATTTAATTGTTTTAAAAAATCATATTTGAATAATGTTTTATTAATTTATATATACACTAACATAAATAAGTGCTAAATTCTGCGTCAATGACATTATCTAAATGTTGTAAAGCTACGCTCTTTCGTACAATGATGACTCTAGAATTGCAGATCGAACCGTGAAAGAAGACGGTAGAGAAGATATTTGTGTGCTCCAAGAAGACGGTGTTGGCACTCTAGAGGAGCCAAGCCCAACCATTGGAGAAGAAGTTTGCTTCTCTGAGGAGAGCGAAAAGATTGAGTTTTTCCTCTAAACAAAAGGAAGTGGCGCCCAGAACCATGACTCACGCCCTGACGGAAGTAGAAGATTTGTTAATTTGCTTAGTGCACGATCCCACCTGTCGTGTTTCAATGTATTAACTGTGATAGTTAGTATATGATTTATGTACAATATAACTGATTTGCAGAGAATTGATTAACAATTATTGATTGTATGTGATTTACGGCAAAACCTGAGATTATCATAGTAAATAAAAACTAACAGTAGCTTGCATTTTCTTTATGATTGTAACTTACCATCTTTTCAATTCTAAACTAAGATTCAATGCACAGAATTAGAAGACATCTGACCACTTCTGTAAACAGAGTAAAGGGATTTTTACAATAGAATTCAATAAATGTATATAACTTTTAACTATTTTTGTTATTATTTTTTTTTTGTATTTGATGAGGTATATTTTAAAAATATCATTTCTATTTCCATTTAAATAACTACATTCATTGATTTTATGAATATTTAGATTTTTGTTTAAAGTTGGATGCAAAACAAATAAAAAATGAATGCAGTAATATCCTTGAACTTTCAATACGTATTTAGAGATTTAAATAGAAATAATAAATACAATTGCAATTCAGGAAAATATGTAGAAAGTTTTGCAAATATTTTACGTTTTGTTTTGATAAAAAGTTTAAAGATACCGGAGGAGAAGAAATTTAGATTGGTTATATATGAAAGAAACTTAATGTATATAAGAAATATAGCAAACAAAAATTATATACGAACATTTAAATTAAATGATTGCTAACTAGTACAAGACTAATACTAAGTGAAATGGGCTACATTTATACATCGACATGGATTGGAAAACAGCAAAAGATTTTTGATAAATTGTACTATAGTTGTAATATTTCATAATATTTCCCTATATTATTTTCGTTAAAATATGAAGAAATAAAAGTGTTGGGATAGTTAAGAACGTAATTGAAATATGTGCATGTAAACGGCATTTGGTGGATATTAAAACTGGTCGCGTCAAGAAGTGGCAATAAACGGTGTATATGAGTGTATTTGTATGCATGTGAAAGAGAGAGAGAGAGAGAGAGATAGAATGAGAGAGAAAAAGAGAGACAGAAAATGTGAGTGTGTGTCACACCTCCGTGCAAAACAGGGCCGTGTTGATGCTATGCTTACGCTCCCGATGTTGCCGAGGGTGTTATTTCGCGTGACTACCCCTGTATTGTTATTTTCATCGGGATCGGTGAATTGTGAAAATCACACTACACCTGATGTAAAACAATTGATACTTTCGTTATTGCTTTCCACCATGCGTCTACACCTCTCGTTACCATTATTGTATTTACGTATTCCAATACATTCGAACGGCTTGCGAACACACCCTCCCTCCCTACACCACGACGCCTGCACTAATTGAATCAACGCTCGAACGGGACTCTTTTTTCTTTTTTTTTGATATCCTTCCTGAAAATTCATTTGCCGCAGCTTCAGTATGCAATCAATCTAAAAATTAATTTCAACTATCGTTTTCTCTGCTTATTTTTTTTTTCTATATATCTTTCTCTTTCCTAGATTGTATTGATTTCAAAATCACCCATGGAAACCAACCACCGGTTCTGTTAGAAGCATTCAATAAAATCAATCAATTTCTCTTAAATCAATAATAATCAATAAAATAATAGAGATATTTCTATTTGTACTTGCAAATATACCGTGAAAGTATAGAATGTTTCTTGTGCTGTTAATACTTTAGTCATTTCTCGACAAACATGAATTGCCATTGTTACATATATATATATATACATATTTCTCATTATTTCTTTATAAAGGGGTGCATTTGTATGGCGCAAGGGGTTGCAGTAACAACGGCTTATTACCGCAGACTTTCTTTCTACACTTGTTACAAGGTTTTATAGCGCGCGTGCAATTTTTCCCTCGGGTAAATAAGCAGAAGTTGCCTTATAAGGGTTGTACATACACACACACACACACACATTTATATACATATATGCACACTATATACGCTGTCATCGATTTTGGTAAATTGTTTTTTTTTATATCCTTCCCTCTCGGTCCGCTCCTTTCGCCTCCCCTTTCCCTTGCAACCCCTTGCGTCTTCGTCCCGTTCCACAATAGTAAAATGAATTCGCATTTGGAATCGAGAGCAGATAGAAAAAAAAGAGCTCAGGGGATGAAAACAACGTCGTTATACATAACAAGTTATTCCTTCTTCTCTTCTCTGCGGTTGATTTATGATCGTCGGTAGCGCTGCCTATGCTAATAGCAGCATTTATATATGTCGACATAACTTATAGCCTTTAAGAGTTAATTTGTTACTTTGATTTATACGAACCACTATGATTTATAATCTGTCATCATTTATACATTTTGTCGTTTAAGATTTTTTTCCTTTCTTTTTGTTATTGCTGCGAATTTATTTTAGGAGCATGATGAAAGAGAAGAATGGTATGAAAATAAAAGTCCATTTTCGAAATCAAATGATGATGATGATAACGTGAAAAGCACGTGCACATTCGTATTTTTCGTTTTGTCTTCTCTTTTTTTTTAGATGTCGGAAAATACATTAAAACACCTTTTCTTGTCCCATGCATGCGCCACTTATATGAACAGCTGTTGCACACAATCCTGCTAATGGCCTCCTCAGCATCCATTCTGCATGTGTAGCATACCGTGAAGGGATATGTAAACACCTTCTTCAAAATCTCTTCGGCTTCGATGATTTTTACGGCGAAACGAGGAAGAATGGAAGAATACCAATAATAATAATAGAAGAAAGCCTCCTCCCCGTATGGGCGTTATGTTTTACTTCCTACACAAATACAAAATGTAAATGATGCATATGTTCTTAATACAAGAAGGTTGAATATGTAAAATAAATATTTACAAATACTATACAAGCAGCATCATCATAACATTCAGTTCACAATAATGTAAATATATTTACTTTTATTTTTCATATATAATATACAACAATAAAATACATCTCTATTCAAATTTATAAATCTATGAGCTATTAAATATTGTCTATTCATTTTTCTTACTTAAATGTAAAAGTTTAAATGGCTTTATTTAGAAAATTTAACATGTTCCAAATTGATATGTCGATTTAAATTATTCCAATTGAAAGTTAATAGTTTACTAACTTAAAACTATATCAAAATTTCAATAAACTTCAATTTAATATAATCATTACAACATTTTATTGTTAAAAGGTTAATTGTGTATGTATATTATTTAATATGTATTTCTAATTGTATGATAGAATTATTAACTGCAGTCAGACAGGAATAACAAACTAAAACTATGAATAATCGAAATAATCGAAACTGTTACAAAACATGCTTTATAT